AGCAACACTTGAACATTCTCTCGGATATTTTCCTTAATATTTTCATTTTTCTGATATATATATATATATACGTATAGAAAATAATGAATGAATTTGAAATACTTACTATTTTTACTAGTATCTGCATGTTGACGATAATCGATAAGACGAGCACGAACTGCTTCATAACCATCATTATTAAATCCATAACTTGAAGAAGAAAAAGTTATCATAAGAGAATATTCTATTTGTTTTTAAGCTAACCGATTTATTACTGCTCGATCTTCTGTAAGACGAAATACTCGAGGTTTTTCATTACCAGGTTGTGGTTTAGGTGTGATTGTTCCTGAATAGAAAAAACTTATTTCATATAGACATATGTCAAAATATACCGATTTCGATAAAACCAAATCCAAATTTAGTTAAACCATCAATTGCTTCACCACTCTTATCAAAACCAGCTGCAAGACCAATTGGATTCTTAAATTCATGATTCCAAACAGTTGTATGCTATAATAATATCAGAAATCGAAAATTTGAGGTCACATCCTCTCTTACTAGAATTGGATCATCAATAGATTTCATTCGAGGAACAAATCCATGTTTTGCCATTTGTATTGATAAACGATGTACTGTTTCAGGATCAATAAATCTTAATGTTGGCATAATTATATCTTCATAGAAACGTTCACTACCGAAATAAATATTTGCACCAACAAATACGAAACCTCCAGCAATACATGCTTTAAATGCACTACGTAAACGTGGCTGGAGAGAATATATACATAATATAAATATAATTTTTATAGCAAAACTATTTTACTAACTGATATTATAATTCGTGGTACCATCTTCAATAAAGGATCTTATTTAAATTAATAAAAATAAAATATCTTATTTATTTATTTTTTTTATAAAATACAAAACAATATATAAAATACAATTAAGTTGTTAGAAGAGAATTGGATCTTTCAGTTCCATTTTCATCTTCACCAAAATAGAAAACACCTTGTAAATTAAGTAAACATTCAGCTGCTTTATGTAATTCTTCAAATGTATTTGGATCTATTAGAGCAAGTTCAGCAGCATCACCATCAATTAAACGACTATCAGGTATATGTAAATCTTCAAGTAAATTATTTGATTCTTAAAAGAAATAAAAATATTCATTTCATTTTAAATTTATATTAATACTACATACCATCTATGGAAGATGATGATTCATTAGAAATTGCATCTAATTTTTCTTCGGGTTCATTATCATCAATGATTAAAATTTGATTAATTAATTTATCTATCAAAAGAATATATTCATAATCATTAGTTTCTCTAAAAACTTTCTCTACTAACTTTGTTCTTGTACGGCTTGTGAATCAATTGACCAATTTTTTTCATTATTTTCTTTTTTCTGTTGATGACGACTAGTTTTAAAATGTTTCATTAAATTACTATGTGATTTAAATTTCAATTGACATATATTACAAGTATAAGGACGAACATCAGCATGAAGACGTATATGACGATGCATATTGCGTATAGACCAACATCGACAACCACATAAATCACATTTATAACTTTCATAAAATAATAATAATAATATTACTAAAGATGTATTAAATCTTATTTACCTGATAGTATTAGATTCTTCATGTCGTTTTTTACGGATAATAATTTGATTTGTTGGATTTGTTTCAATTTGTGATAGAGAAGAAGAAGGATTAGGAGGTGATGGTATACGAATAATTGGTATTGGAGTATATAAAGGTTTACTTCTTTGTATACAACTTGTAATTTTTCCATTTGTGATTGTTGTACAACGAGATGATGAAATTTTCATCGCTCGTTTTAAATGTGATAAACGTTTTCCATGTTGATATAATGTACTTGTAGAACGGAATTGTCGTTGACATATATTACACCAAAGTTGATTTGAATTCTACTAATCATATATTCACTATTATCTTCATGAAAATCAAATTTCACTTACAGACATATTATTCGTTATTTGTGGAGAATTATCTTCTGTAGTTGAACTCGTATTCTGTGATAAAAGTTCAATGCTTACTATTTCCATTGTATTGAACTAATTATTTTTTTGTTCTGAAGAAAAAGATTTTTTTTGTATTATTTTATCAAATATAATGTATGTTTTGACTTTTTTGTATTTTATTAATAGCAAAAAAAAACTATGAAAGAAGAGCAAAAGAGAAACAGTTCATTTGCCTACACATAGGAAAATACAAAAACGGGGATAAGTCATTCAAACAAAAAAAACACAACAAAATAAACTATTATTCCCATTTACCAAGAATATCAGCTTCTTTAAAGATGAAATATTCTTTCTTTTCTATTGTAACTTTAGTGCCACCATATTCTGGTAATAAAACTTTGTCACCGGCTTGAACACTTAATGGAGCTTGAGTACCATCCTTTAACAAAAACAAAAATCAAATAATTTATATAAAAATCAAATATTTCTTACCTTTTGTCTAAGACCTTTACCAACAGCAACTACAGTTGCATTAAGTACTTTTCCAAATGCTTTTTCTGGGAGATGTAAACCACCTTTAGTTAATGTTTCAGCAGCGAAACGTTCAACAAGTACACGATCAAATAAAGGGATAATACGTTTTATTGCTCCTGATGCCTAGTAATAATAAAAAAAAATTGAATTTTTGTTTGTTTTTATTATTCTTATCATTCTTACCATTTACGATAGAGTACAAGATGATTTATTTTACCGTACGAGAATAATCGAGAATATATGTAACTAACCTCATCGTAACATTTGTTCGCTTTTTCTGATTGGAAGTTACGTTTTATCCAATGATGTGAAGGAGGTTTGCTAACTATAAGGAGGTGAATAAACAAAAGATTGCATCAGCTTCTTATCCATTTAGAACTCATATCTAATTTCTTTTTCTTTTACTATTACTCTTACATTATTTACTATATTTTTTTATCTTTAGTATTCATTAATAATGTATCGTTTTGCTAAAACAATTTCGCGAACAACAGCACCACTTGTTCAACATGTCGTACGTCGTTCATTAGCTAAAGAAATTAAATTTGGTTCAGATGCACGAGTACTTATGTTACAAGGTGTTGACATTCTTGCCGATGCTGTAGCTGTTACTATGGGTCCTAAGGTCGGTTTAAAATTTTGTTTTGAAAATAAATATAAGAAAATTTTTGGATGTTTTAGGGACGAAATGTTATTCTTGAGCAAAGTTGGGGTGCACCAAAAATAACTAAAGATGGTGTTACAGTTGCCAAAGGTATTGAATTAAAAGATAAATTTCAAAATATTGGTGCTAAACTTGTCCAAGATGTTGCAAACAATACGAATGAAGAAGCCGGTATGAATAAATAAATAAATAATCGTAAATAAAATAATATATTTCTTTTATAATAGGTGATGGTACAACTGCTGCAACAGTTCTTGCTCGAGCTATCGCTAAAGAAGGTTTCGATAAAATTTCACGTGGTGCTAATCCAATTGAAGTTCGTCGTGGTATTATGCTTGCTGTAACAGCAGTTATTAATGAACTTAAACGAATGTCAAAAACTGTAACAACACCTGAAGAAATCGCACAAGTTGCAACTATATCAGCTAATGGTGATGTATCTATCGGTGATATTATTTCGAATGCAATGAAAAAAGTTGGCAAAAATGGTGTTATTACTGTTAAAGATGGTAAAACATTAATAGATGAACTTGAAGTAATTGAAGGAATGAAATTTGATCGTGGTTATATTTCACCTTACTTTATAAATTCAACCAAAGGTGCTAAATGTGAATTTCAAGATGCTTTTCTTTTAATAAGCGAAAAAAAAATCTCATCCGTTCAAGAACTTATTCCAGCTTTGGAATTAGCTAATAGTCAACGTAAACCATTACTTATTATTGCTGAAGATATTGATGGTGAAGCACTTACTACTCTTGTTCTTAATAGGTATGAACAGAAAAGAAATTGATTGATAGATACTCATGATTTTTTATTTATAGACTTAAAGTTGGCCTTCAAATCTGTGCCATTAAAGCACCCGGTTTTGGTGATAATCGTAAAAATATTTTACGTGATGTTGCTATTGCTTGTGGTGGCACTGTATTTGGTGATGACGCTAATTTAAATAAAATGCATGAAATCACATTAAAAGATTTTGGCCGTGTTGGTGAAGTTATTGTTACAAAAGATGATACATTGTTAATGCGTGGTAAAGGTGAATCAGCTGCTATAGAACAACGTGTGAATGCAATTACCGAAGAAATCTCTGAAACTAATTCTGAATATGAAAAAGAAAAATTACAAGAACGTTTAGCAAAATTATCAAATGGTATTGCTGTATTAAAAGTTGGTGGTGGTAGTGAAGTTGAAGTTAATGAAAAGAAAGATCGTATTACTGATGCTTTAAATGCCACACGTGCTGCTGTTGAAGAAGGTATTGTACCCGGTGGAGGTGTTGCTCTTTTAAGATGTCTTAAAGTATTGGAAAATCATGCCGGTGCTACAAATGAAGATCAAAAAATTGGTATTGAAATAGTACGAAGAGCTCTTCGTATGCCATGTTCAACCATTGCTAAGAATGCTGGAAAAGATGGTAGTGTTATTGTAGAAAAAATTCTTATGTCACCCTTCGAAATTGGTTATGATGCACAACGTGACGAATTTGTTGATATGGTTAAAGCTGGTATCATTGATCCAACGAAAGTTGTTCGATCTGCATTACAAGATGCCAGTGGTGTTGCTTCATTATTAACAACAGCAGAATGTGTTGTTGTTGAAGCAGCTAAACCTGAAAGTGCTGCACCAGCTATGGGAGGCAGTACGTATCCATAAATCAATCTATTATATGATTTATTTAAAATTGTTTTCTTCTTATATTCTAGTGGGTGGCGGCATGGGTGGAATGGGAGGAATGGGTGGAATGGGTTTTTAGGAGATTAAATGAATGCTAAAATAACCATATAGAACAGTTTTGTTAAATCTGTTTTTTTTTTTTTGTTTCATTTTTTTTCTACTTTTGTGTCGGCCGTTGTATACCATATAGGAAATATATAATAAAACGATTAGCACTGATGACAGTGATCATAATGAAAATAAATTTTTAAGAAGTGGACGAGAAAAGATGATCCCGTTGAATAAACATTAATTTAAAAATTTTTTATTTTGACGTCTTATAATATTTATGAAGATGAATATATCACTTATCAACAAATTCAGTTGATTTTCCATTACATTGAACTGATGAAAATAGCTGAAAGAGAAATGATAAAAATTTATACCAATCAGAAGATAAAGAATTTATCCGATATGAAAACAATACTATAGAATATATATTCAATTAAACATATTTAAGAGCAATTATAAAAGATTTCATGCAATCAATAAATATTATTGTATCTGTTATTTCTATTGTGAAATAAACATTCAATCAAGAATTTATCTTCATTGATTAATTTTACATATCAAATCACAATGACCTTTTCTCTTCTAAGAGAATTTTTTTCAACAACAACGTCTGTTTATTTTCATCTCATTTATTTATAAAACCGAGACACAAAAAAAAATTTGTATGAGAGATTCAACATGCCTCTTGATGATTATTAGCAAAATCAATTTGCAATTAGTGTATCATAAGTTATCAGTACTGTATACATGACATACATATATCTATATAGACAAATGGTGCATACATGAGATCGATAACATCCGGAGTGAAAAGAAGATAGGAGACAGTTGCTCCACCTAAATATCGATACTAAACACATATGTATAAGGTGATAACTCTTCATTCTCATTAGTTCTTCCAATTAATATCCAACTATAGATAATCATCAAAAGTATTAATAATTGAATTCCATCTTGTCGGCATCGTTTTTTTTTATATAAATCAAAATTAAAGTATTATATGTTTATTTCAATGATAGAATTAGAGAGAAAAAAAAGGTCGGCATTCTGTAATATCTCTATCTACCTTCATCTTATGATTAAAAAATATATTGTTTGTATACAAGTCATCGTTGTATATATAATAGACTGTCTCTATTGAAGAGTTTTACAACCTCTTTCTCGCATCTGAGAAAAAGAAGAAAAAAGAGTAAATGTATGTGCCTAGATATATATATATATATATAATCTTATCTCATTTGTTCTATTGGCTTCTTCTATACGGAAATTCAATTATAATCATGAGAATAAGGTATAAGACGTTTGTAGTTGTCCGACATAGTCAAAAAAAAACAATAATAAGAAAAGAGAAAAAGAGATGATGATGATGAACATATATAGAAAACAGATCATCTTACATACATAAAAAACATCTTTAACAAATGGCATCGGTCGCACGCGACTTTCTTTTACATGTTCAATTATCTTTTTTTTTCATTGTCATATGGCGTTTTTCCAGTTGACTACTAATATACTAATATAAGTATCTAGTGACTTTTTTTTAATCGATGAATATAAAACAAAGAAGTAGAAGAAGAAAAGAAGAAGAAGAAAAAGTGTTGTTATTTTGTTCATTTGAAAAGAACACCTTTGAATGAAAAATAGGAAATACCTGGTGAGAATCAATTTCTTTAACTAAACGCCCTCCTAACGTTTGTATGACGGACATCCGGTTCTCTATTGAGCTTTTCTTTTCTTTTTTTGTAATAACCCATCCATCCGTTATAGAAAAAGGAAATAAGTGACCATATTCATCACTTCATCTAAAGAGAAAGCGAGAGCAAGATCCAATATAGATTGATTTCTTTTTCTTTGCCGATGTATAGAAAGAGAGACTCCATTTTCCACTTCAAAACGATTCTGTTTCTTGAGTGTTTACTGCTTCTCTCTCTCTCTCTCTTAGTCAAAGCGATAGTTATATGTGTGAATAGCACAACATTTCCGGCACAACATTATATAGAACTACCTGTTCATGCGCTTATAGGCAGACAGATTGCCGACAACAGATTAATATGATCAGCAACAACTAGTCAACTAATCGAAAAAAAAGAAAGAAAATGACAATAATGACAAGAATGAGCTTGTCTCTTACGCACGAATGGCATAATTGAGTTTTTGATTT